GGGTGGGGCAGGGCTGCCACCGCTACATCCATTCAATGGGCGGGGTGAGGTGGGGTGGCGGTCGGGGTGGGGCTGCCAAATGTAGGGGTCTCGGTTGGGTTGAAGGAAGTAGGGACGTGGCTTGCCACATGGACAAGGGGGGGCGCGTGCCGCACAAGGTGTACAAGTGTGTCCTGCCTGGGTTTTGGGTCTATGGGTAGGTGCGACGCGGTTCAGCAGATGAGCTGAACGTCGTCTTGATGTAGAGGGGGTCGTGCGGCAGTGGCTAGCAAAAGCTCAGCAGGGTTAGGTCTGTGACGGGACCAGACTGCACAGGAGAGCATGCCGGCCTAGTCAGCGGCCAGCTCACAGGTGTTCGGTAGCGTTGGCGCCTTGAACATAGCGCTCGGGAGAGCAAAATATCGCCATTGGTTGAGGCATTCTGCTTGTGCTGCTCTGCGATGGGCGAGCGTTCGGTGGTGCGGCGTGGGCGATCGGCGCTAGCGGGTCTGGCAAGCGCGGCACGGCCCGCATCAGGTCTATAAAATTCGCAATTTTGAACCATATTCAGCTTTGCGAGAATGCGAAATCATACACATTTTGTCAGAGACGTTGTGGTTGCTGACCTGTACAGTACTTCTGTAGTTTCGTTTGATCAGATCACATGAATATGATATCATAAGTCAAACGATACATGAGTTGTACGCAATTACGGGAGTCTGGAGGTCGGCGAGTTGAAAGCGTCAGGGTACGCGAAGCGAGCTGATCTCCGACATGCCCGCATCTCATCACCTCAGCAACGCTCAGCACAAATGTGAGAAACCAGAACATATCGTCTCATATTACTCTATACGTCTCATTTGACGATTCTGATACCCTCTTGGTCCACCAGGTGACATTGCGGGGTTGGCTGGCGCGCCTTGTGCGCAAAGTCCATCAGGACGATGCCCATGACCCCCACAAACCTGCTTGACAGCATTCACATTGTCGCAGCCTGGCGCGTCAAGCCGGCCTTGATGCTTATTTGCAGGCCTCCTGTGCTGGGAGGTTGCGTTGTTTCGGACCAGTAGTGCAGTTTCAGCTCGTCAGGCGCCGAGGCCCACGCAACTTAACCTGCTTGACACACGATACACTAGGCTGGGGAAAAGACAGAGGCAAGCGCCTGTCCGCCGCTGCTGGCTGCGTGCACCTGCCAGCAGTGGGCGTGGCTTCTTGCCGGCGGCCCCAATCAACTGTCCAGCAGGACCCAAACGTGCAGGTCCAGACCTCATTGACCGGCCGTCTACAAGAAAGTATTGTTCTGTAGAATGTCTAGGAACCCCCACCATCGTCATCACAAGGAATAACAGGTGAGCCGTCGCCTAATGATTCAAATCGAGCCGCCTGGCCACCTCACTTGCTGCACGAGCAGCTGCGCAATCACTTGGAGTTGCCTCGAACATTGCAGGGAGCTCTTTTAATTCCAACGCGACACACGCATCGACCCGTCCTCACGATATTCACCAGCTCAGGCTGCTTCGTAGAACGCGGAAATCCCGCCCAGACACGCGTGCCACGATCTGGTGTCTTACTGTTACGACAGGATTAGGTGTCATTGTGCGTGGACAAGCTCCTTAGCGCGTGAAGCTCACGCTAGGGGGCGCAGTAGGCCCTTTGAAGCACACCCCGGTACCAGGAGCAGGGCGCTTCTCCAGGTGCGGTGGCCCGAGATATCAGATTGAATCGTTGCTCCAGGTGCCCTTGAACCGCAGCGGCAGCTGTAGATGCAACTCGCCGAGCGCGGGCACCTGGAGTGATCTAGGAGTGTGTATTGCAGGCACTATGGGGAACGGGGACGATGAGTACCCCGACGAGGTCGAGGAGCGGCTCATCAACGAGGAGTACAAGATCTGGAAGAAGAACACGCCGTTCCTGTATGGTGCGCGCGGTGCAGTGGGCTGTGTGCACACTGCATCCTCGCAGGCCGCCATTGGTCGGGCGACGCGGAGTGGCTCACCATACTCACGTTGCAAAACGCCGCAGACCTGGTCATCACCCACGCGCTGGAGTGGCCGAGCTTGACGGTGCAATGGCTGCCGGTAAGGGGCGGCGGCGGGGGCGACACGACAATGCACCCGAGGGCAGTTAGCTCGCCAGCAGTCCGCGCCGCCCGCCGCTTCGCCCGCTGAGGCACAACACGCACGTGGCGGCGCCCGTGCAAGGCGCCAGGACAGCATCGCCCAACCCCCTGGCGCGGCAATGGCGCGGCCGAGTGAGGCACGTTGAACAACGAGCATGACCTCCCTTTGCACACCCGCAGGGGGAGAAGGAGGTGGTGCCAGGCCAGGACTACTCCAAGCAGAAGCTGATCCTGGGGACCCACACCAGCGACAACGAGCAGAACTACCTCATGCTGGCTGAGGTGGGCGTTGGATGCGCGGAATGCTTCCGGGACCAGAGGGCAGGGACTCTGGGTCTCTAATGCGTGTGTGTGAGCGTGTGCTGCGACACGAGGATGAAGGACGGGGGGCGCGTGTGCTGCGCCACGAGGATGAAGGACGGGAGTCGACGCACGCGAAATTGGGGCAAGTGTGGAAGGCAGGCGTGGGCGCTTGCCGCTCGGTCCAAGGGGGAGGGTGCCGGCGGGCGGTGATTACGAGCTGGCGCAGGGGCTGCCGAGAGGAGGAAGCGGCCAGTGCGTGCCCGTGCGGCGAATCGACCACTGGGATGAGACGAGCTGGCGGGCAGCTGGGCGCATCAGACTGCGGCTCGGCCGGCCCCAGTGATGCCTTTGAAAAAGGGCCCGCCCGGCATGCCACGAGCATGTGCCTCGCCCCTCCAAGCAGCCGTCGAAATTCACCCACGCCAGCCCCGCGCGCCGCGCGGCTTCTGTGCCGTTATCGCAGGTCCAGCTGCCGCTGCAGGACTCGGAAGTGGACGCGCGCGGCTATGACGACGAGCGCGGGGAGGTCGGGGGCTTCGGCAGCGCGCACGGCAAGGTGGGGCAGGGGCGGCGCTTGCTCCAGGAGCTTGGGGAGGGGGCGGGGCATAAGGGCATGCAGGGGAAGGGGATCTGCGGCTGCGGCTACGGCTGCGGCTGCGGGCCTCGCTGTGATGGGCGTGTCAGGTGCTGTGGTGGGTATAGTGGAGATGGGAGGCGGCGGGCGAGCAGAAGGGGTCGGTGGCCGGCTGCTGGAGGAGTGGGTCAGTCCGGCAGGCCCCGCAGGCAGCAGCAGGAAGGGGCAGGAGCCATCAGGGTGCCGCAACCCGTCCCGCGCCTGCCGGCCGCCTGCCGACGCGGCTCGCATGCAGGTGGCATGCGACCGGGCTTGCCTTGTAGCGGTCTAGGCGTGTTGAATGTATCACCCCCCACCTGACAGCCGCCTCTGGCCGCCGTGCGTGCGCATGTGTGTCTTGTTGGGTGCAGGTCAACATTGTGCAGCAGATCAACCACGACGGCGAGGTCAACCGCGCCAGGTGGGGTTGGTTTTGGATGGTCGAGGGTTGTTGCAGCCTATCAACCTGCATCCCTCTGTTTGTGTGTGTGTGTGCGTGTGTGTGTGTGTGTAAAGCGTGGCGGTCCAGAGGGAGGGAACGTTTCTGCGAGGGGAGGCAGCACGCGCGCCCCCCGATGGCTCCCGCGCCCGCAACACCCTGTGCGTCTGCATCGTGTGGGAACGCTTGCCCAGGGCCACAGCTTGCTGCTGCTGCCCCTGCCGCCGCTGCTGCTGCTGATGATGATGATGACCACGATGACGCTGATGCTGGTACTGCTGCATCCACATCATGTTTGACTAGACCACCACCACCACCTCCAACCCCCAGGGCCATGCCCCAGGACAAGTTCAAGATCGCCACCAAAACAGTGTCGGCTGAGGTAGGGCCAGGGGTTTGGGGGGGGGGCCAGGGTACTGGGCATTTGTAAGAGCAGAATGGAGCAAATGTGGGTCGAGCGGGTTGATGAGAAGGCTTTCGGGCCACGACCAAGCAAGCTGTGAGCCAAGAAAGACAGAACGCTGCTTTGGCGCGTGGAGCTCGTGAGCAAACAATGGGCGGCCCGTGGCTCCGACAAGACTTTCAGCCTGCGGCCTCCAGGACAGCCGGCCGGCTGCCCGTTGCCTTGACCCAGCCCTAGCCCTCTCACCTGCCCACCCAGTACCCTCCGATCCGCTCCCCCTCCCACCCCTCTGCCCCCGCGCCGCCCCCAGGTGTGGGTGTTTGACTGGGCCAAGCACCCGTCCAAGCCGCCGTCGGACGGCGCGTGCAACCCGGACCTGCGGCTGCTCGGGCACCGCACGGAGGGCTACGGCCTCGCGTGGAGCCCCTTCCACAGGGGTGGGCGCCCGTTGGGGGCCGCTGGGGCCGCGTTCCCGGGGGCGGACGGGGCACCTGGGCACCCCCCAGACGGCGGCCGCGAGGACGTTGGGGCGGGGGTGGCGGGGCCATGGCACAGTGGGGGCGGGTTGCTGGGGCCCCTGGGTCTCGCACGTCACCTCTTGAGCTTGACGAGGACGAGGCACTGGGGCGGTCGCGTAGCCAGCACATGCCCGGGCGTGCTGATCCCTTTGCCATCACTGTTATCAGTTTGCTGCCACGCATCGGCACTGAATACGTGCATCCTTCAAACCCACTCTCACAGGCCACCTGCTCAGCGGCAGCGACGACGCCCAGATCTGCATCTGGGACATCAACGCCAACACGCGCGGCAACCGGGTGCGCCGGGGTCGCGCCGCCCCCCCCCCTCCCAGGCTGTGGCAGAACGGGCGCCGCGGGCGCCTCCCCTCGTGCCCTTAGCCGGGGAGCGGCGCCCGGCTGGGGCACACGAACTCACAACATGGAACGCCCGCTCACGGCCACCTGGCGCACCTCTCTTGTCCGACCCTGCCTTGGGTTCTGACCGTGGCAAGCTGCCGCGCCCGCTGCGCACCCTTTGCAAGCAACCCTCAGCGTCCCGGTCCGCGCTGCTGACCGCCGCTCTCTCAACACCCCCGCCGCCCCCTCGCAACCGCGCCCCCTGGGCCGCAGCAAGTGGACGCCAAGGTCATCTACTCTGAGCACTCTGGCGTGATCGAGGACGTGGCGTGGCACCAGCACCACGCGGACATCTTCGGCAGCGTCGGCGACGACAAGCAGCTCGTGCTGTGGGACACTCGGAAGCCCCCCAAGGACGGTGAGAGGGGCCGTTGGGGCGGGCCGGGGCGAGGGGACGGGGTGTCCGGGAGACAGGCGAGGAAGCTAGGGGGTTTGGCGGTCAGAGTTTTGAGGGCGGCGGCACGCATTGTCGCTCCTGCTTCAATACCAGGCGGCCGCGCTCGTCGGGTTCGGCAAGTGCCGCAGCCGATCATGCAAGGGGGTTTCAGGCTGCGCTCGCACGCCCGCTCCTTGTAGTGACAATCTCCGCCCCCACGCTCGCGCCCGCAGGCGTGATGGTCGCCGCGGAGGCGCACTCTGCGGAGGTCAATTGCATCGCGTTCAACCCCCACAACCCCCACGTGCTGGCCACGGGCTCGGCCGACAAGACCGTGGCGCTCCACGACTGGCGCAACCTCAGCCAGCGGCTGCACGTGTTCGAGTCGCACTCTGAGGAGGTCTTCCAGGTGGGGGCACGAAGGGTACGAGCGCTTGGATGCATGTGTGCATCGGTGTGTTTGTGCATGCTTGAGTATACGCGCATGTGTGCGTTTTCAGCGAACGGTGGTTGAGCTGTTTTGGGCGCACACCTTCCTTTGTGAGTCTTGGGGCTTGCTTTTAAAATCTCTATGAGGCCGGGCCTGCTTGCGTGCGTCCATGCCGCGGCTGGCGGGCCATGCGGGGCAGCTCTGTGCTGGCACGACAGGCGCGCTGGGCCCCCTGCCCCAGTGATTCTCGGCTACCACCGTTCTGGACCTTTCCGAAACCTATGGATCCCCAGCCTTGAACCACCGGCATCCTCCATGCCCCCCTCCGTTCATCTTCAACAGATTGGGTGGAGCCCCAAGCACGAGACCATTCTGTCGTCGTGCGGCGCGGACCGGCGGGTCATGATCTGGGACCTCTCGCGCATAGGGGACGAGCAGGTGGGCGGCCAGGGCTGTGGTGTTTGCTGCTCTGGGTGTTGCAGAGGGTGACGCAGGATTAGGGTGCCCTTCTCACCATTGCAGATGGCCATCTGGAAAGATCGACATGCATGTTTACATCTGCCAGTTCCCGTTGTGTGTGTATATGTATGTATCAATGGGCTTGATCGTTCAGAAACCATCGTGTTTGGGGATGGACAGGCACACTCATGAGATGGAGCGCACTCTTATGCACGTCGCACTTCACCGCGCAACACACCGTGCGCTCATTCCCCCGCCCGTCAAAGTCCGAGGAGGACGCGCAGGATGGGCCCCCTGAGCTGCTGTTCATCCACGGCGGCCACACCTCGAAGATCAGCGACTTCAGCTGGAGCCCCAACGACGACTGGGTGGTGGCCTCTGTGGCAGAGGACAACATTCTGCAGGTGAGGGGCAGGTTGGGCCGCTGTTGCCGGCGCCAGTGAACATCTGGGGCGGCGCAGGTTGACGGTTGCAGCGCCCGGCTGGGGCGTCTGGGCCGGTGTGCGCGTTGCGTGCGTGCGTGCTCAGCTAGGGGCTTTGTGCGTGCGGCTGCCCAGCTGAGTCCAGCCAAAAACGGAAGCGTGCATGCCTGGCGCTGCCTTCAGCAACCCTCCCCCACCTGCGCTTGCAACGTGACCCTGAAATCTCAACAGGTGTGGCAGATGGCCGAGAACTTGATTGACGCGTGATAAGATACAGTTGTTTCATGATATATCTGGCGCATGTGCTCGCTTTGTGGCTGCCAGCATGTTGTGCTTGTCATCACAGTCAGGGTTGCGGCGGCCGCAATGCTGCCCTTTGTGGGCAGCTGCGGCGTTTGCCTGGACCGCCCTCTGGTTTGAGGGACCTCTCTTTGTTTTGAGCCTGTTTGCGGCCAGTGCACAGTCAAAATTGTAATTTCAAGATCATCCTCCTGTGGGCTGTAGGGGTGACTGCCCCCTGGAAACATTGTGTGTGTTTTGTGTGTACGCGTGCATGCGTGCGTGGTGGGGGGGGCCAGGGTGCATGTGAGTGTATGGGGGTGGGGGAGGCTGGTCCATTGCAGGTGCTGCAAGGGGGTGCGGGAGGCATAGTATTATTTGTGTGGGGCGGGGGAGGCTGGTTATTATTAGATGCTGCAAGGGGTTGTGGGAGATATGGCCTGTGAGCAAGCTTTGGTGTGCAGTTCCTACGGTATTTAATCCACTGCACTAGAGCACGAGCAGCCTACTGTTCTCTCTCACCTTGGTAATCCGAGGACTCGCCAGCCGGTGAGGTATGAGATGTATATCATAAGAGCCTTGGGAGTGTCTTCATTGGTAGCCCGCGGCCCCAGGCGCGAGAAAGCTGGTTTCAGTCGCTTGCACCTCCAGGCTGTGTGGGGGCACACCCGACCCCCGACTTCCCGACCCCCGGGCCAAAGTGGCCCGGACGAGCACATACCTCCAGGCCAAGCTGTACACATTTCGTTGTGGCCCTTCCGGTGACCCCATAGTGGTATACACGGCCTGCGAGCAGACAACGGGCACAGGCACAGCGCTGGGCCCCTCAAAGCTCGTCCGGGCCTTCTCGACGTACCTGTCCGGTTGTTGCGCTGCAGGTTAGTTGTATCCAAGGCGGTCGAGCGCTTAGGAGTGCTTTTATCGCTGCCAGGTAAGGTCACAGACTGGGTCCTGGATGCCGGCGCAGTGCTGGCGCGGCCACCTGCACTTTCAGTTGCGCCCCAGAATCCATGCACGGCTTTATACACGCACGCTCACAGACGCACGCCGCAGGCACAAACGCGCGCACGCACGCTCGCACGGGTTTGGGTTGGCATGCGTCTCCAATAATGTCTTTTCATGGCTGCTCCCTGCTGCAGGTGGCCTCCAGCAGCAGCATCCGGTCCCACCAGCCCCTGAGCCAGCGTTGCTCACGCCTTGGCTACATACCTCATCCCAGACCCTTGCAGTCCCTGCTGCACGACGCGATGGCAGTCGGTGGCGAGCAGGCAATGGCGGAAGTCACGCAGGCGATGGCGGAAGTCAAGCGGGAGATTACACAAGTGAACGATAAGATTGCTGGATTCGAGGATCGACTGAGGGATGCAGAGGGCCTGGAAGAGCATGAGCTTATTCTGCACCGGCAGCTGGTAGCACTGCACCGGCAGCTGGCAGCACTGCAGCAGCAGATGGCAGCACTGCAGCAGCAGATGGCAGCACTACGGCAGCAGCAGCCAGGTGCGGCTGGGTCGCGCACGCGGCTTACGCAGGGCACTGACAGTAGCACATGACATGCCGAGCACAGCGTGTGCCGCCTTGCTCAGCAGGGTGAGGTCGGTGTCGCACAATAATAACAGTAAGTCGATCAAGCGCTGCTGTGGGAGGGTGCTTCACATTCCGCCCTCTCGACTCACGCCAATCTGCCCAACGTGGCTCTCTTCCCCTCACAGGTGGCAACTGGCTGGTTGAGGCCCTACTTCCTGGACACACCTACTGCGCAGGCGCCCGTAGTGGTGTTGGTATGCGGCTGCTCCGTCTTGCGAAGTTCACCGCATACATCATGCTGGTTGCCAGTGTGCCAGTGCCTCGATGGCAGCAGCGTTCTGGCGGTGGTTTGATGCAGTCGCCTGGTGCCGTAGGTGAATGCAGCGGCAGCCGCGGCAGGAGCGATGGCAGCAGCAGGAGCAGCAGCAGCAGCAGCAACGACCACATGAGCAGCAGCAGTAGCGGCACCTTCGGTGGGAGGAAACAGCAGTGGTGATGTAGTGTGGCTACGCAGTACGGTAGACAGCACCTGCACCTCTTGCTCTCAGTGCAGTCCCTTTGTCACGCACCGCTCTAGTGCCAATTGAAAGATGACATGCCCCCAACCCCTGGTGCCATGCGCCTTTCTGACAGTGTAGCTGGTGTGCGGCTGTTTTCGCCCCCTGGCTGGCCCCCCTTGCTTTGTGCTTGGGCATGAGGGCGGGCAGCTGCCATTGGCGCCCCAGCATGACCCAGTCTGGCGCGTGGGCGTAGAGGGTAGCAAGGGCATAGGGCGCACGTTGCGCCCGCCTGACCAAGCCAACGTGCCGCTCGACAGCGCCCCAGCGCCCAAGCTCTCAGCATGCGCATCGGCGCCGAGGGTAGACACTTGCTGTGGATTACGCAGGATGCTTTCTTCGCAACTACTGACGTACAGTACTTTGCGTTTGAGGTGTGATCTTTTTCAAATTCAAAGTCCAACCTCATGAGCCTGGATGGCTTCAGAAACGGGCGACCGCGGAGGTGGTAACAATCTTATCCACAATTCAAAAGCGGCGGAACAGCATACGCACCGCCTTCCTGCCTAACGCGGGATCGCCGCAGGTGTGTGCGTGGGGGGCAAGGCATGGTTCATGTGTGTGTGGGGGGGAAGGCTGGTCCATTGCAGGTGCTGCAAGGGGGTGCGGGAGGCATAGAGTTTATGCGTGTGGGGCGACAGAGGCTGGTCAATCGCAGATGCTGCAAGGGGGTGTGGGAGACATGGCCTGTGAGCGAGCTTGTGTGTGCTACAGTATTCCAACCTCAACCGCACTACAGCATGAGCAGCCTGTCGTACTCTCTCACCTTTGGAATCCGAGGACTCGCCGGCCAGTCAGGTATGATATGTATAAAATAAGAGCCTTGGAAGTGTCTTTACTGGGAGCCTGCGGCCCCAGGCGCGAGAAAGGTGGTTTCAGTCGCTTGCACCTCCAGGCCCCGGCCCCCAACTTCCCGACCCCCGGGCAAAAGTGGCCCGGCCGAGCACATACCGGTACCTCCAGGCCAAGCTGTACACATTTCGTTGTGGCACTTCCGGTGACCCCATACACCCCATAGTCGTATACACGGCCTGCGAGCAGACAACGGGCACAGGCACAGCGCTGGGCCCCTCAAAGCTCGTCCGGGCCTTCTCGACCAACCTGTCCGGTTGTTGCGCTGCAGGTTGTTCCCAAGGCGACTGAGCGCTTAGGAGTGCTTTCATCGCTGCCAGGTAAGGCCACAGACTGGGTCCTGGATGCCGGCGCAGTGCTGGCGCGGCCGCCTGCACTTTCAGTTGCGCCCCAGAATCCATGGCTTACGGTACACGCACGCTCACAGACGCACGCACGCAGGCACAAACGCGCGCACGCACGCTCGCACGGGTTTGGGTTGGCATGCGTCTCCAACAATGTCTTTTCATGGCTGCTCCCTGCTGCAGGTGGCCTCCAGCAGCAGCATCCGGTCCCAACAGCCCCTGAGCCAGCGTTGCTCACGCCTTGGCTGCATACCTCCCAGACCCCTGCAGTCTCTGCTGCGCGACGCGATGGCAGCCGGTGTCGAGCAGGCGGTGGCGGAAGTCACGCAGGCGATGGCGGAAATCAAGCGGGAGATCACATATTTGAAGGAAACGATATTTGAACTTGAGGATCGACTGAGGGATGTAGAGGGCCTGGAAGAGCATGAGCTCGTTCAGTACCGGCTGCTGGTAGCACTGCAGCAGCAGCTGGCAGCACTGCAGCAGCGGCTGACAGTCTTTTTCCAGAAGGAGCTGTTCCTCTTGCAGCAGCAGCAGCAGCAGCAGCAGCAGCAGCAGCAGCAGCAGCAGCAGCAGCAGCAGCCAGGTGCGGCTGAGTTGAGCACATGGCGTACGCACGGCGCTCACACTAGTACGTGACATGCTGAGCCTCAAACCTTGCTGTGGAGTTGTGCATGACCCGATTGTAAAAGGAAACACACGTGTTGACCAGTTCCTGCAGCATCAGCTGCAGGGGTTGAATCATGCATACGTTGCCTCACGCCCTGCCACCGTGTGGGGCTCGTGCTTAGCACGTGACCGCGGCGTTTGGGGTGGGGGAGTCTGGCTGTTCTGCTTTGGCCCCCAGACTATGCCGGAGGCGAGGAGCAGCCGCCTGTCTGCAGCTCTGTCAGTTTGCTGCTGCAGGCGTGTGCTGCAGTGGTTCTGGAACCATCTCGCATGGTTTACAGCTGTGCCCAACTTGCCGCGTCCTCTTCACTGGAAAGCCCAGGACAACACTACTCATGTGGTGCTGCTGCCCTTCCCTCCTCCTCGCACCTCCCTGCCCTGCGCACATGCTGTGCCCCACTACCTGCTGGATTTCTTCACTGTCCTCCTGTGACGCCTTGTCCTGTCCACCATTCTGTCCTTCGGTGCTGTCCAGGCACAGGACTGGGAGCATCAGGTGCGCTTTGTGTGCATGATATGATTCAAATCACGTACTGGCCACCGTAACTCAGGCATGGCCACAGCAAATGTTGCTGGGCGTGGTGAAAGTGACAGCCAACTCAGTTTCAGACCCAGTTGCGCCTTGCAACCACACGCATGTTGAGCGCCCCGTTGCTGTGGGCACATTTTTGTCGCGAACACGCGTGTCGTGTGCCTAGTTCTCTTTATCCACGTCACCTGATTGTCCATGATGACACCACACGCATACCTGCTTGTACTGCTGCTCTGCATTCTGCCCGTCCTGCCTCATCCTGAAGTTCCCACGCGTGCTGGGCTCCATCACTTCCTGGCTTTCCTCACACCCTGCCCCCTTTGACCGCATCCGTCCTTCACCGCAATTGCCTCATCCTCTGAAAATGATCCGATGCAGCAGGTGAGATGCTGCAAGTTTTGGGCGATGATGCTTGTGGCGAGCCAGCCAACCGTGCATCGCCAGCCACTGCGTTTGACTTGCCACATGCTACCAGGTCTGGCTCATCCCCCCTTTCCCTTGTGCATTCTTGGCTATGCAGGATTGCAAGCATCCTTTGGGGGTGTCGCGGTTCAGGACCTCGTCACACCAAGTGCGCAAAATGCGGCACCAGAGGCTGCAGCAGCAACGGCAGTGCAAAGTGCAGAGCAGCTCCAGCAGCTTACAGGTGAGCCCAGCAGTGACTGTGCTTATCACATGACACATTAGGCCAGTGTTTTCAAGCACCAGTGGTGTAATACGTTCTACATCAATCTGACAACGCCTTTGCTCCCCTTGCTCCTGCAGAAGCGATCCAGCAGGTGACGGATAAGATCAGGTCGATCAACAGCAGACACTCATTACTGGCATCCGAGATCGATGCCGCTGAGCTCTCCTTGCTCCGGCAGCTGTTGCGATTCTATTGGATGCCCTTTGATCAGGCAGACCCGGCTGTTGTGCTGCGTGGCGAGGCTAGTGATGCTGACTGTTATTGGTGAGCATTCCACGCAGCTATCCTTTTCTGTGTAGGGATGTCGTGTTTCCTGCATTGTTGGCCTGCTTGCAAGTCAAGGATGGGCCCTTGTTGATGCACCTGCAGCTGTTCAGCTCTGTTGCCCCATGACAGGTGGCTTGCCCATGTTGCGCGCAGGGACAACGCACCTGATCCCGGTCAGCGGGAAACATACATGGCAGCCTTGCGGGACAACCTAGGCAGCAGCCTGTTCGACAAGCTGGCGTGGAAGTCGCAAGTCAAGGTCACCTGTTTGCTTCATGGTCTCGGTGACCAATTGACAGCGCAGGCTGACGAGCTGCTTGTTGCCAGGTGAATTGTCTCAGGCGCAGTTGCAAATGCTTCTGTACTCCTTAAGCTGTAATGCTGATGCAGCGCGGCCGGGACTGCTTGCACGTGAGTACATTGCGCTTGGACAGCGACCAGCACACTGTGCGTGGCACCATCCACCAGGGCAAGGCCCTGGCACAAACTGAAACAATGAACGATGCCAAAAACAGCGCGTGTGAGACATTTTGATTAGTTGGCAACACACATGTTCATGTCATTTGCCACACCTTCCTTTTCAATTCACAATGGCATATTGGCTTCACCCTTGCAGGCACTGGGAGATGTCACCTGATACTGGCTGTGTGCTTGGCATAGATTTGAAGAAGAGCCTCACCCAAGCGAGCTTGCGGGAGGGTGAAGCCAAGTTCATGGCGTTCGGCCTCAGCTCCAAGTTCCCATTCATGCAGCTGGTGACGGACATGCAGCGTGGCGCGATTGCGTACTACAAGCAGTGCGACATCAGCGGTCACCAAGTTGTGGTGCAGCGTGTGCTCCATGGCATGGACGCGTTCTATGACTTCTTGAAGGCTGCGCTTTCAGACCTGCCCCCAGCCCTCACCAACGTACACACACCACCAGACGTCCCGCAGCAGCTGAACAACCCAGAGCGTGTGAAGTTGTTCGAGCCTGCACTGCAACCTTAAGGCCTCTGTTTTCAGTGGTGGTGCCGAGTGTGGTGATGATGCCTTGCATTAAGTAAGTAATTGGTTCCCCAACTAGCAGCTGCTCGACGCGAATCATAGCTGCCAGACACGTCAGACTTTCTGACCAGGTTGATCCTGTGCCGTGAACTGCAATGGGTGTGGGTGTTGTAATGAAGAGTCGGTGATGCTGCAAAGGGGGGACGTAGGCAGCCACTCCTCCACATCCACGAGACGTGCGGCCCTGCGCCACGCACGTGGCGTAGGGCCGTGCATCCCTCAGAGCACGTTGAGAGGCCGCTGTGCCGTTGCCAACAGTGCAAATAGGTGTTCACCCTTGACTTAGGAGATAGAGTTGGCCGTCTCTTTGGCATGGTTCTGCCTCGCTGGTTGAAAGCGTTTTGTTTCCATGCAGCATTGTGATGCCATGTGCTGCGAGGGGGACAAGGGACGGGTGTCAGCATGCATGTGATGTTCTGCAAGCAACCAGTGGATGCAACCTGATCCACAGTCATCGTGCTGCAAGCCATGTGCGTGAGCAGGCAGCAAGCAGCGTAGTACAACACAATGTTTTTACCGCTTGCAAATGGTGCATTTATGGTGCAGAGCGCAAAGTAATCTGTGTGGCGGCGAGGAGTCGAACACTTGGACTGGCGCATCATGCACCAACTGCACGAGGAGTCGACCACCGTGATGTGATAAACTCTTCAGACCTGTGAACTGGTATTTTATTGCATGCACATGGCAATCGAAAGACACCACATCAACAGCGGCTGCAAGAGCCGCAGTGTGGCACCAGGGTGAGGAGAACCCAGAAAGCAGCTGCACACACGATCCCGCTTGACAGCAGCAGCAGTGGGTGTAGGGCTGCACGAATGCAGTCTTCTTGCGTGATGAAGCCGTCCTCATAGAGGCCTTGGCGTGGGAGTGGACGACAACACTCGTCGTTAGATCATCCACAGCATCAACCAACCTATAGCCTCGTTCCTGATCTGAATCCAGCCTGCGGCAGCGGGGCCGGGCTGCCAGGATGGCTCCCCTTAAACAGGTGGATCGGTCAGCCACGGTGGGCTTCTGCCCCACAGGGGGGCGACCGCTCCTCGCGGCCGGTACCGTGGCTGGAGCGATCGACATGAGCTTTAGTACCAGCGCCGTTTTGGAGATTTTTTCACTGGACTTCGCGTCTGGAGAGGAGGCGCCGGTGCTGGCGGGGAGCCTGGCCGTGCCCGAGCGCTTCAATCGGCTCGCATGGGGCACAGCACCCTCGGACGCCACCCGTATGCCGGTAAGTTGTCGCTTGGAATTGAAGGCCCGGCGTTCAGTGCCCTCACGGGTGATCTGCTCGACGCTAACGCTGTTGCACCCGCCTCGCAGCTTGGTATTATTGCGGGCGGCCTGGCGGATGGCAGCATTTGCCTCTGGAATCCCTCCAGCATCGTTGACGCTGGCGCCAGCAAGACGCCGCCGCTGCTGGCCAAGATGCAGAAGCATGGGGGCCCGGTGCGTATTGCGTCCGTGCACATGCCACTGCGGCAGCTTGTACCGGACAAAGGCTGTCGCAGGCTGCCTGGCCGAGTGTCAACTCTGGTGATGCGGTTGACACACAGGAGTGGGTGTGCGGTAGGACAAGTGCTTCGTCACCCGACCTGTCCAGGCCAGATTTCCTGCTGATTGCCACCAGCAGATCGCTGGGACCTGATTCATTGCCGGCCCCCTGGTGGTGGGCTGCGTTCGCTGATTGCCTCCCCCTTTTACCTCAGGTCAAGGGCCTGGAATTCAACTCATTCAGCCCCAACCTGCTGGCGTCGGGCGCGAGCGACGGGGAGCTGTGCATCTGGGATGTCGCCAACCCGGCACAGCCGTCGCTGTACCCGGCGCTCAAGGTGAGCAGGCGGTCCGACGCGGCCGCACGGCGCAGTCACCCGACGGGAATCCTTGTGCAGCTGCGGCGGCAGCTGGGCTCGCTCGAGGCCCTGCACACCTGCAGAACGCGGACGGTGCCGCCCTCAACTGCGATTGCAGCTTCAGCCGCGCCCACCAACACGGAATTGTTGCGGCGATGCACGCATGGTGCGCGCTCCCTGGTTGACGATGAATCGTGCGCTGCCTCGGCCTTGGCCGCTCGCAGAGCGGCGCCCAGGGCGCCCCTGGCGCTGGCCCCGTGGAGATTACCTACCTGGCTTGGAACCGGAAGGTGCAGCACATCCTGGCGTCGACGCAGGTGAGCGCACAGCTGATGGCCAGGGCCTGGCGGCAGGTCCCGGCCCGACCAGTGCGGCAGTTGCAGCGTTGGTGGCAGCTTCGCATGGCGGCGGGCGGAGCGCGACGCTGGATCAGAGGCAAGCAACTCAAGCATGCTGATGATGTGTGTGTTATTGCATCCGCAACGCACTCTGGGTTTGATGCTGGGTTTTGCGCGGCGTGCCATCAAAATGAGCAGGTGGACGGCGCCACGGTCATCTGGGACCTGAAGAAGCAGCGGCCGGTGATTACTCTCAAGGACCCCAACAGGTGGGCGCTGGCCGGCTGTCGGTTCTCACCGAACGCGTGCAGGCGCGCCTGCCGCCATGCAAGGGGTGCAGTGTGCGGCGGGCACCAACGCCGTGTCGAGGGCTGGGCCTGCCCTGCGCTCTGAACGTCTGTCCCTCCGCCCCGCCCGCCCCGTGTGCAGCCAGCGCCGCTGCAGCGTGCTGCAGTGGAACCCGGAGGTCGCGACGCAGCTGGTCGTGGCCAGCGACGACGACCGCTCGCCGACGCTGCAGCTGTGGGACCTGCGCAACAGCATGGGGCCGGTCAAGGAGTTTGTGGGCCACACCAAGGGCGTGCTGGGCATGGCGTGGTGCCAGCACGACCCGGGGCTGCTGCTGAGCTGCAGCAAGGACTGCCGGACGATCTGCTGGGAGGTGGCGACCACGGACGTCTTGTGCGAGCTGCCGGCCAGCGGCAACTGGGACTTTGACGTGCAGGTGTGGGGGCCGCCAGGAGAGGGTTTTGGGCCAAAAGGCACACGTGCGGTCTGCATGCAAACGTTGTGAGAGGTGACGCTCGTACGGTCATGCAAGCAGAGCGTGAGGGGGCCGCGCAGCAGCAAAGCGCGCAGATTGCAAGCCCGCCCGCGTGCTGGGCCGAGCGGAGCGGCGGCCGAGGTCGCGTCGCTGCTGCCCTGCGCGCCCGCCCCGGCGCGCCGCAGTGGAGCCCCACCCTGCCGGGGGTGTTCAGCACGAGCAGCTTCGACGGGAAGCTGGCGGTGCATAACCTGCTGGCCTGCACGGGCGGCGGCGTGGTGGAGACCATCAACGCGGACTTCAGCACCACAAAGGTCGCGTCAGGTACGTTGCTTTCCATCAGAGCACCCTGGGACAGCGCGCCGAGCTCCCTGAGCCTTGCCTTGTGCGGGCCTGGCGGGTGCTGACTGGAAACACCGGCTGCCCAGCAGCGAGCGCTCAGGCGCACACTCACGGCCGGGCTCGCCTGGAGACGGGCGCACGCCGGGCGGAGACTGTCCTGAAACCTGGCTGACGTAACCATCGCGCCTGTGCATACCTGCGCACCATGGCAGGCGCCGCCAAGCCCCTGAAGCGTGCGCCCGCGTGGATGGGCAAGTCGTCGGGCGTGGTGTTTGGGTTTGGCGGGCGCCTGGCCAGCTTCAGCCACTACAAGCAGCAGGTGTCGGACCCTGCCACTGGCCAGGTGGGCTCGGGCCGGCTGTTTTGGGACTGCGGCTGCAGGCAGACAGCACGCACTTTGTGACAGGCAGCTTTGCCAGACAGCAGGCGCTTGGGTGCAGGCGGCTGCAGCGCAAAAGGGAGGTCGCAGCCCCGCCTCGCTGCGGCGGGGCGAGGGCCGCATTTCAATGACAGCTCAATGCAAGCGGGGGTCCTGGGCACAGCCTTGGTTCTCGGCTCCTATCTACC